TTTGACAGATCCAGAGTTCCCGGGCCCAATGAGAAGAACAGTTGATCATGGTCATGGCAGGAGCAGGCAGGAAAACTTTCTGCACTGGAAAGGATTTCCATCAGCAAGAGGATCAACCCAAGTCTGGATGTTTTAGGAGCAGGTGTACTAGGAGTAGTTTGGAGAGGAGAGAGAATAGTAGCAGAGGGACCAATAAGGTAACTATAACAGGAGTCCAAGTGGGAGGTGATGAGGACCTGGACCAGAGAAATAGTCATGTATGTGGAGAGAAAGAGACAGATGGGAGGTGTTACAGAAATAGAATCAACAAATCTTGGCGAATGATTGCATATGGAAAGGTTGGGCAGGTCAGTGAGTGAGAGGAAAGAATCAAAGATAAACTTGAGGTTAGAAAGCTGGCTTTTGAGAGGTTGTAAACCTTGGTGATTGGAAAGAGGATGATGTCGGGAGAAATAGAGAAGCTTAGAGGAGGGCAGGTTTAGGGGGGGAGTTGATGAGTTCCATTTTAGACATAAATGATGTTGACTTCTAGGTGCGGGCAGGACATCCACATAGAGATGTCTGCCAGTTAGAAGAAAACTCAGAAATGGAAGTCCCAAAGAAAGATAATGACTGGACACAGAGACTTGGAAATTATCTGCATATCTGCACCTAGCTCATGGGATTGTTGTGAGGATCAAATGAGATATTGTACATAAAGTGCTTTGCAGACCTTAAAGTGCTATACAGATACCAGCTATTATTTTTTTAAAGATTCATTAATTTATTTATTTTTAGTTTTCAACCTTCACTTCCACAAGATTTTGAGTTCCAAATTTTCTCCCCGTCTCGTCTCTCTCCCAACCCCAAGACAGTGTGCATTTTGAATATCCCTTCCCCTAATCTGCCTTCCCTTCTGTCACTCCCCGCTTTCTCTTATCCCCTTCCTCTTCTATTTTCCTGTAGGGCAGGATAGATTTCTATACCCCATTGCCTGTATATCTTATTTCCCAGTTGCATGTGAAAACAATTTTTTAACATTTGTTTTAAAAACTTTGGGTTCCAAATTTTCTCCCTTCCTCCTTCCCCACCCACCCTCATTGAAAAGGCAAGCAATTCAATATAGGTTATACTTGTGTAGTCACTTCCATAATAGTCATACTGTGGAAAATGAACTATATTTCCCATCATCCTATCCTGCCCCCCCACCCCCATTTATTCTATTCTCTCTTTTGACCCTGTGTCTCCTCAGGGGTGTTTGCTTCTGATTACCCCCTCCCCCAATCTGCCCTCCCCTCTATCATTGCGCTCTCTTATCCTCTTCCCTTCTATTTTCCTGTAGGGTAAGATAGTTTTCCATACCCAATTGAGTGTGTATGTTATTCCCTCCTTAAGCCAAATCCAATGAGAATAAGATTCACTCATTCCCTCTCACCTCCCCCCTCTTCCCCTCCACTGTAAAAGCCTTTTCTTGTCTGTTTCATGTGAGATAATCTACCCCATTCTACCTCTCCCTTTCTTCTTCTCCCAGTATAATCCTCTCTCACCCCTTAATTTTATTCTCCAGATATAAATACTAGCTATTATTAAATTGAACCAATGGAAGTAGATGAGATCACAGACAAAGGGTGCAGTGAGATAAAAGAGGGCCCAAGGAAAAAGCCTTGGGATGGTCATCTACCCTTAGAAGGCAGAAGATAGATAGATGATGATCCAATAATGGAAACTGAGCAAAAGTCAGACAAGTAGAATCAAGAAAGAGCAGTGCCACAAAAGTCAAGGGAAGAGAAATCATCCTGATGAGTGAGTTGGTGGTGTCAGGGTCAACAGCTACATAAATATCAAAAAGTAAAAGGACTGAGAAAAATTCACCAAAATAAAAAATTAAGAGATTGTTAGTAACCTTTGAGAGAGCAGGTTCAGTAAAGCAGTGGTGTGAAAAGTCAGACTGCAAGGGGTCACAAAGTGAGTGGATAGTGAGGAAATAAAAACAGACAATACAGATGAATTTTCTAGGATGATGGCAATAAAATGTAGGACAGATTGAGGATGATAGCTTGAGGGGACAAAAGGGTCAAGTGGAGGGTTTGGTTTTCATTTTTAAGGATAGGAGAGATCTGGGCATGTGAAAAAGGCTGAAGAAGATTAGAGGATTCTAAGCAGCAAAGGATCCAAGGCACAGGTAGAAAGGTTGGTCAATAGAAGGGCCACCTCCTCCTCAGAGACTGGAACAAAGAAGTTAAAGAACAATTCAAGATGTAAAAGGAACTCAGGACAAATGGGCCCAGTTTTCTCACTAAAGGTGAGGTCCTTTGCTGATGAAGAGTTGTAAGGTCAGTTCTGGGAGCTTCAGTAGAGAAGAAAAATTTTGGTAGAGCCACCAGGAGAGATATGAGATGGCCAAGGAGGGAAGAATAAGAGGATTCCTATGCTGCACTGAAGACCCCATCAAGGCTAGATAATATCTAGCAGAGCCATGTAATGTCTTCAAATGACTTTCAATTGAGGGTGGATGGCCCTTCCCTGGATGACCCAGGGAAGAAGAAAGACTGATCACAAAAGTAGGGCAAGGAGACAAATGGGTCAAGGGTGGAAGAACTAACTGGTCAACCACAGGACCAGTACTTTTAAAAAAAGAAAAGAAAATAACACCAAAATAGAGGTGTTAGACTGGGTGAATAGGAAAGGATAGAAGGACTGGAAGTCACAATGACAATGAAAACCAGGTTTAAGAGGAGTGAAGCAGAAGGAAGAATGAAAAGATAGGAGATTATGATCAGAGAGAGGAATTTCAAAGTTTTTAACCAGGGAGGTGGTGAGATCTAAAGTGTGACCACACTTATGGGTAGTCAAGGTGGAGTAAATCTATAGGTCATGGGAATTGAGGAGGCTGATCATGTGAGAGGTCAAGGTGTCTGGAAATTCTCAACTCTGGGGGCTGGGGTGGAAATAAAGGCTGTAAGCCAGGTAAAGAACTCCTTGAAAAGAGGTGAGTGACCTATAGTGGTCATAGAAACAAGCATCTAGAGAGAGTTTTAAATATGGAATGGCAGTGAGGAAACAAAAGTGCATTGACTCTTCCTGGCCCAGTATGATGGATGTGACATGAGAGAAGAAACAACTTGAAACTGGAAAGTAAGGTCAGGGATAAAGCAACTCTTGTGAGAACCAGTTTTCCGTGAATTCGAGAAAATGGAAAGAGTCCAAAAGGAAGAGATCTAGGATGACAGTTTGTTAATGAGAGGGCAATGGTCCTAGATGCCAAAGTGAGTTATAGGAAAGAATGGGCAAAAGAGGATAGGCATCTGAGGATGGGCACAGTTGATAGGTAAGAGGTTAAGAGCACATGCAGAGAGATTCACAGGGACATTTAGAGCTGGAAGGGACCTCATAAGTCACCTATACAACTCCCCATATTTTGCAAATGAGGAAACGAGTCCAAAGAAGTTAAAACTCACTTAAAGTCCAGTAAGTATTAACTTGCAGAGGCACAATTTGACCCCAGGGCCACTGATTCCAAATCTATGACTCTTTCCACTGCCTCATGAGGAGAAAGGTTAACAGACAGTGACCTTGAACCACAGGCATTAGGAAATGCAAGATCACAACAGCTAAACTGCCACCTTATTAGCATTATAACTACAGTCAAAACACATTATACTTGACTAATAAATTTATAGGTAGAGCATAACGATAGAGCATAGCTAATTTGAAATGAATTAGGTTATAATTGGAGTTCTTATGCACAAGGAAATGAAAGTTTGCCAGCTACAGCATACTCCAGGGTCCCATGATGATGGAGAGTAGCATTAGTCTAAGGTCCTGGAGTAGAAGCAAATAAATCAGACGGTGGAGGTCCTCAGGGAAGTTTCATAGGTCAGGGAAGGCAGAAGAAGGTCAGGGCATGAAGGGTTCCGGAGTAGCAGAATGAAATCCTGCTGACAACAGGATTGACTTTGGTTTCTACGAAGAGAGAGGACAAGTAATAGTGAGTACGAAGCCTTAATCCAGTTGGTGTTTTCACCCTCAAAAGCACTTTAAGGCATCCATCATTGGTCTTAGGGAGGGGAATGAAGAGCTAGGAGGGACCTTAGATAAATCTAGTCCAATGCCTTCATTTCATAGAAGGGGAAAATGAGGTGCAAAGTGGGGAAGTGACTTGCCCAAGTCATGAATTAGTGGCAGAGGTGGAATTCGAACCCAAGTGCTTTCAACTTCAAATAAAGTTTCTTGCTTCTGTAACATGTGACAAGTCACACAGAAGGGAAATACCTCTCAATTTTCCAGGAGTGTTTACATTTAAAATAGGAGACTTGTTTATCTTATGCCTAGAATTCACTCCTTCCTCACTTCCATCCATTAGAATCCTTAGCTTCTTCCAGGCTTAGCTTATGGGATTGCCAGGTCCATCCCTTACTCTCCACCCCCAGTTAGTACTCTCTGCCTCCTAAAATTCCCATTTTAGTAGATTTATCTGCTTATTTGTAGAATGTCAGCCCCTTAAGAGTAGGAACTGTTTTTTTGTTTGTTTGTTTGTTTTGTCTATGTACGCTTGAAGCCTTGAACTTGGAAGGTGTTGAATACGTGCTCTTTGGATTGGGTTAGATCAAAATGAATTAATGAAAAAGAATCTTGTGGAATTTCAAATAATGGAGAACAGTGAAGAATTTCAGGTCTTATAGAAGATGTTTGGGGGCAGGTGGGACTGTCCTAATCTAGATCCATGGCCTACTCTACCTTATGTTTAACCTTCAGTCTGGGCTGTAATTTATTACTTAAATGAGTTTCTGTCAGGAGAAAATGAGAAAGAAAAAGGAACAGTCAGTAACTTTCTTTGTTCTGCCATTCACTGACTTCCCTTTTGTTTTTTTTCTTTTGGCTGTCCTTCTTGGCTCAAAGAGCTTGCTTTCATCACACAGTATTTACACATGGATTTGGCAACATCGATCATACTTTCCAGAACTGTCAGCTGATTGGCAGGGCCCATCCTTTTGGGTAACTATGCCCTGCCCTGGGCCTGCCTTTTTATGAGGGTCAGCAAGAAGATATAAATACCAGCTCTGCCCTGACTTCCCTGCTCTCCGAAGGCTTTGGCATTCAGCATGAAGTTGTCAAGTAGCCTCCTCTTCCTCCTGTTTCTCCTCACCTTCACCATGGACCAGCAAGAAGCTAAAGTGATCAGTAATTCATTCCTAGGTAAGCAAAAAAGATTCCCTTAAAGAAGGCAACCAGAAAGAAGGAAAATGGAAGCCCAAGGCAGAGAATCCTAAGACGGCTTACACATGGAGTCACCAGGGATTTGTTCTGTGAAGTTTGGATTCAGTCAAAGGGCTGCACTTGAGGACCTAGAGTGTGGCCTCAATGCCACAGGTTCCCCACCCCTGCACCCCAACACCCTCCTTTCCACATCAAACTTTACCCAGATCTTCATCCTTTATGACTTCCTTTTGAGCTGCCTCAAGAGAAACATCCTGCCTTTTTTTTTTTTTTTGAAAGATTATAGGCTTTAGACCTGGAAGGAGTCTTATCAATCTTCTATTGCAAGGGTTCTTGATTATCTGATTCTGGAGCCCATGAACTGGTTTTTCTAATAGCTTGATGATTTTATTCCAATGTAGTTGTTCTCCTTTGTAAATCTATGTATTTTATTTTATGTATTTAAAACCATTATTCTGAGAAGGGGTCCATAGATTTCATCAGACTACCTAAAGGGTCCACAACACACAACGAAGTAAAGAATCCCTGATCTAACCTAACTCTTCTTTTACAGTTGAAATCAAGACTCAAGAGAATTTATGTGGCTTTCCCAAGGTCACATGAGTAGAACCAAGATTTGAATTCAGTTTTTCCACTCAAAAGCTGGCGACTTTTCTATTACATAGAAATAATCTGAAGGCCCTTCCAGCTCTAGTTAGATGATGCTTTGCTCCTTTCCATTTGTGCCTTCAATCTCATCCCCTCCCACCTCTTCCATCAATCATCCTTCTCTTGTAGCCCCAATCTTTTCCTCTCCATTGGTTTGCATGTGTCATTTAATGAAAGCAAATACGTAAGCAAAAGCTTCCCACAAAACCTTAGAGGCATAGGATCTGCTTTCCTATCTCTTCATTTTACTGTCAAACTTATAGAAAGAATAGTCTGTAACTCACTGCATCTACTTCCTCATCACCCACTTCTTCCCTCCCCCACCATGATATAGACAGTCCCCACATTTCTGTCCTTGGCTTCTCAGCTGCTCCTTTTCTAATTATAGAAAATTCTCTTATAAATTCTCTAATTATAGAAAATTATAGAAAACTCTCCTTCTATGATCCTATCCCTTCTTGTGGCTTCAAGGATCACCTGTATAGTTCCCAAATCTGTATCTCTAGCTTTGATCTATTTCCCAAACACCAGGATTTTTAACTGTGTTACATACACACACACACACACACTCACCCCCCCCACCACCGCCTACACAACAACAACCATAACTTTATTATTCCTTATCAACTTTAACCAAAGGGCTGAAACCAGCAAATACACAGAAAGATTTAAAATTTTTGTTGGTCTTATGATCATAGATCATAGATTTGGAGCTGGAATAGACCCTCATTTAAAAAAAATTATCTTATTTGTATTGACAGATTTTGTTTTTACAACATATTTATTTCCCGATCCATCCCTCCCTTATTCATGGAGGCATCCCTTGTAACAAAGATTTAAAAAGAGGAGAGAAAAATCAGTTCGGCAAAAGTAACTAATATACTCACCGTATCGAAATGTATTCTGAACTTACATACCTTCGCTCCCTACCTCTGGAATAAGGAGAGGGAGGTACATTTTCTTATTTTTTTCCAGAATCAAAGTTTGTCATTATAATTATATAACATTCAGTTACTCTCTCTCTCTCTTTTTTTGTTCTTTCTCTTACGTTGTTGCAGTTGTCTACCCTGTTCCCTAGTTCTACTTTCTTCATATTCCATTAGTACATATAAGTCTTCCCAGGCGTCTCCAAATTCTTTATGTCCATCATTTCTCATAGCTCAATAATTCCTTTACATCCATGTGCCATGGTTTGTTTACCCATTCCCTAACCAACCCCTTCATTTACAAATAAGGAAACTGAGGCCCGGAGAGGTTGTGACTTGGCCAAGATCATGCAGGCCCTCTGATTCCAGGAGTGATGTGTTTTTTTTTTTTCCCTCTCTATACCAAACAGCCTCCAATCTTGTTTCCTTTCTTCCTGATAGTTATTTAAAACACAGAACCAGAGGAAGCAATGCCACCAGGAGGAAGACTGAAATATAATTGGGAAATATTTAACAAAACAAAAATACAACAGAACGTAAATAATGTTAGCATGTGGTTTTCTAAGTCAACATGCCACCTTCAGGGATGCCTGTATTCTTACTTGCCATTATCTACAATACGGCTTACTTTTCTCCCTTTGGCTCTTCCCTAACGTTAGGTGCTTGTGTTGAGCTCTGTGGAGGAGACTGGGACTGTGAACCTGAAGAGCGCTGTGTCAGCAATGGATGTGGCCACGTCTGCACAGACCAATCTGTTTAGGTAAGAGGACCAGGCCTGTTCCCTGCCTGTTCTCCTCCCCCCTCCCACTCCACCCAGTTCATTCCATTGAACTCAACAGGTTTTCCAGAACAGTCTGGTTAACCACTGAGGAACAAAAGCCTAACTGTATCTCTGGGCACCTCTTCCTTCTTGGAGGTCTCCTCATTACACTCTCATCACCGCCCCCCCTCCACCTCCAAGGAAAGGGAAAGCTGGATTTCTCTAATGTTCCATTTGTCACCTTATCTTCCTTCTTTGGAGTGATCAGGGAATACAAACCATATGATAATAATAATAATAATAATGACTTTAAAAAAAAATACCAAATTGCCAAAGTGCTCCTTTCCCCCTCACTTAGGAAATATTTTATCATAGCACTTTCATCCAAGCACTTCCGTAGATATGCAAGGAGCTTTGAGGTCATTGAATCAATCCCTCTCATTTTCCAGAAACAGGAATGAATTTGATCAGTGTCCCATAGCTAGTAATTGGCAAGAGCCAAAGAGGAGGCAACGTCACACAGTGAAACGATCGTTGGCTCTGAACTTGGAGAATCTGGGTTCAAATCCTGTCTCTGATGCTTTCTGCTTATGTTGCATAGGGCAAGTCGCGTAATCTCCACAGGGGTCACAGTCCTCATCTGTAAAATGAGGAGGTCTCTTCCAGCTCCAGAGCTGTGGTTTTATAAACTAGGTAGCCTTTGGGGACCCTTCCAATTATAGATTAATGACCCACTGATTTGAACCAGGGTTCCCAGTGGATTTATCCCATGATCTTACCAGGCAAGAATCCTGACTCTGACACTGAGGCTAGTCACTTAACTAGCTTTGTGACCCTGGTCTGGTTCATTATCTTCATTAAACCCCAGTTTCTTCATCTGTAAAATGGGATAATAATATTTGCGGTACCAGTCTCACAGGGCGCTCACATTTGTAAAATGCTCTGCAAATCTTAAAGGGCTGTATGAATACTAGGCATTTTTAAAAAAAAATTATCTCCCACTGTCTTGCTCTAGAGGTATGTATCTGCTTTAGTACATTCTAAGTTTATAAGCACACTGAAGGCAGGCATTGTATCTTTCAGTTGGGGTTTGTATAATGCCTAAAGTATCATGATGATAACTGGTCAGTGATGAAAGAGGAAGATCTAGGAAACTGGGATGTGGAAGCTAGGGCTACTCCACTTATGGTTGGCTTTCATTCCATGACATAGACTCTTGCAGAAAGGAGCTAATTGCATAAAAAAAGAATAGTCATCTATAAAAAAGAGGGTCTCTCCTGCGTGGTCCACATAGGCCAGGAAAGCCCTAGGGAACACTTGAAGTTGCTCTGGGCAAGAGAGACCAAGGTTCCCCCAGTACTCCTGTCACATTCTTCTGTCCATTTGGTGGCTGTGGACAATGGAGAGCAGTGAGACAGGCCAGGGCAGCTGTAGGTGCACTCAGTGTGTAAGATCTTTGCTTTAATTTTGTTTTTGTTTTTGTTTTTTCATTTGCCAGAATCTGCTTAGAGAAGAATTCATTCAAGAAAAGTCCACTGGGAGTTGTTTCTATCTTGCTGGAGTTCTTACCTTAAAAAAATCTGATATATTGTGGAAGCTTATGGTGGGTGGAGTGGTGCAGAGGGTGGGGAGGAGGGGGTGGACCGGAGGTGAAAGATTAAAGGGTACAATGGAGAGAAAGGGGAAGTGTGGCTTCACAGAAGACCTTTCCTTAATAAACCATTAACATTGCAAGAACTCTGGCCATATGGTTATTCCTTTAGGGGTTTGGTATTATGCGCTACTTCAAACTAATGGCCCTTAAACTTTGTTTGCAAGATTTCATGACTGTGATATAGGCATCAAAGAGCCTTATTACTCAAATTAACTCTACCCCCAATCCCCTTGCTTTTCCTAGTTCTCTAGGCCCAGAGCACAGCAAGGAAACCACTTCCCCCTTGTAAAAATAGGTAACGGGCATTGTGACCACTGTCTGGTCCCATTTAGAAATCTAGACCCTGGAGGTATGGCTATGACTGAGTGAGGACACCTTCCATTGTTGCTTTCCAGGGGTCATATTTTATCTGGAGTATGATTTATTCCACCTCTCAGGCTAAATCTTCATCCTAAAAGCCACACCCATTCCTTCCCCTCACAGCATAATGTGCTAGTCAATATTTTCTGACCAAAGACTTAGCTAAGCAAGCAACTTAATTACATTAAATAAACACATAGTAAAAGTAGAATCTTTAATTACACATAACATAAATAATAATAAATTACACATAACATAAATTACATGTAACATCCCATTCAATCTCCAGCCCCAGCTCTAGATTCCTTTACATGGAGGTTCCATCAGGCTGAAGTTCATTCCCTCTGTCTCTCTCTGTCTTTGTGTGTCTCTGTCTGTCTTTCTCTCTCTCCCCTCTCTTTTTTCCTCCTTCCTCTCTCTCTCTTACCTTCCCGGCTTTTTTCCATCCCCCTCTCTTTCTCTCTCATAAACACACACACACACACACACACACACACACACACACACACGCACACACACACACACACAATCTCTGTGTCTCTCTCTCTCTCTCTCTCTAGATACACATGGGACTAACTCATGATTATCTGTCTTTATTGAGATTAGACAATGCTGTGGAAGCTCTCAGTGATTGTCCTGGACCCTGATACATTGGCAAAGGGGGATGCAAGAAAACTCTCCTAAATCCTAGGATGCTCTGGTCCACTGGGGTCTGAACTCTGCAACCCCCAGCCCAGAAACCCTGCTAAAATGCCCTAAGCAAATGACCTATGGCAAACTGGATCATCACAAATCTAATGCCACCAATGTAGGGGGACAGATACCTCAGCTGCTGTTTTTGTCCCGCTTGGTTCCCTTCTATTTTACCTTCAGACTTTTACGTTTTCTACGTGAATCTCCCCACAAATCCATCAAACAAATCTGATTCCATCCAGAATGCCCATCATCAACAACCTTGAACCAGTTGAGGAATGTAGTCCCCACCATCACCCTTCTTCCCCTACAAGCTCTCTTCCTCCTTCCCTCAACCCTGGTAAATAAACCCATTCAGATCTTATAGATCAGGTTACGAAGGATACAGAAAAACCACATCAATCATCACTTCTTTCCCACAATAATTTTGCCATTCACTGACAATATTACTCAAATTTATACTAAATGTAATCTAGGAAGATCACAGATTAAGTGTACCCACAATGTCTTACTCCAACCAGAGCTGAATAATATTGCCCACAATGATCGAGTTTATTGTAAGAAAACAGGCACAGAAGCATGAGGAACTGGAAATCCTCCCCCACCTTGTGGGGTTTTTCCTCTTTCTAAAATGCAATATGACATGACTCAGTGATGATGAGGCTGCATAATCACGGAAAGAAAGAGACATCTCACCTCCTTACCCCCACTCTCCAGCTGCCCATGAGTTCTGACTTCCACCCTCAGGGAAATGACTAAGGTGCTCGGCATCACCCTCTAGCTGCTTAGTGAAATGAAGACATCTGGCCACTCAGCCCCTCATTCAGCCTGCTAGTGAAATTGCAAGAATTGCATTTGGAAGCCTACCTTTGAACTCCAGTGCAGAAAGAGTCCTGAATGGAGGCTGGGTATTAGAAGCCATAATTCCTGCACCTTCCATGTTGCCTCATCTGGTTTTTAGTCCTCAGGGGCCCCTGCACATTCACCAAATCATCATCACAACATGGTGGGCTCCCCCATATTCCTTTGTTCTTACCCCATCTGACAATTCACTGAAAGGTAATGAGGAACTAGAAAGAGCATGAGATTTATAGTCAGAAAGTCTGCCTCTGCTACTTACTGTATATGTAACTTTGGAGGAGTCATTCATACTCTCTAGGCCTCAATTTTCTCATCTATAAAATAAGGGGAATTTTTGCGATGACCTTTAAGATCACAGGTCAAAGTCTATGATCCCAAGATTTGTTTGATCTCACAGTGATGGCTATCTTTGTAAAATTCCCAGCACGATACCAGGCAAAAATGAATGTTTTATAGGTGACTTAGGGCAGGGACAGCTGAGCTAGGATTCAGGACACCTGGGTTCTAATCTCAGCTCTCTAGCTAATCAGCTGTGGAACCCTAGCAAGTCAATCTCCTCTCCTCTCTGGGCCTCAGTTTCCACCTCCACCAAAAAAAAAAAAATGAGTGAACTGAATTAGATGACCTTTAAGGGATTCCCCAACTCTAACACTCTATGAATAATGAGTGAGTTATAATTCAGATAAAATGAAACCAACACTTGGGCTACTGTAACTAATACCAGTTGGAGTCAGTTCTGGAATCGTTTGTTTCCTGGAAGAAGAGGAAGGCACTGAAGTTGCCCAATCTGAAAAATGGGACCCAGTTTATTTTTAAAAAAGTAAGTAAATTCTAAATTTCTGCAGAAAACAGGAAAAGAAGAAAGAGACTTAAGTTGTGGTTAGAGAGAGTTTGGTTGAGACTGAAGAAGAAGTTCTTAATGATTTGAATAATTCGACAAAGGAACAACCAACCAAAGGAGAAGAGGGAATGCTGACTCATGAAAAGAGAATTCTAGGTTTCAGAATTCCATGACTTCTCTCAGTTAGTTTAGGTGGATAGCTGACTGAGGTAAGGCCCTAGATCAGAGAACCTCTTGAGTTCAATCCCAGTTTTATATACCTACTAATTGAAGAGAGAACTATCAGTAGCTAACAGATTTCTAGTTCAGGGAATCTTTTCCCTTGGGTTATTAGTTAATCTCATCTCTGCAGCCATACTCGGGTATCAAGGAAGAAGATGGTAGCTAGTGGGGGTATTTCTCTGTAGTATCTCCTCTCTGGTACTCCTAGAATTTGCACTTATACTCACAGGTTGGGTTACTAAATGGTGGCTACTACCTCAAGATTCTAGAGGTAATTTGTACATACTCACTCCTAACACTATAGCTCATGAGTCCCCACCAATGAGTTTCCCCTTAACAATCAGCCAGGAGACACAATTAGCTCTTAGCAAAGGCATTTATTAAAATGGCAAAATATAAAAAGTAGCTACAAAATATCTGTATAATTACTCTCCCAGAGTCTCCATGGGAAGAACAGGTTCAAACTTAGAGCACAATGGAAATGAGGCACATGTGTAGGAAGGCAACTCACAACTCCTACTGCTTCAGGGCCTAGATGTCCTTTTTTCAGATCCATTTGGGAGCAAAACTTCTGCTGCATGAGTTACTCAGCTGAGTTCCCAGAATCTATTTACCATAGCTCTATTCTCTGCTGCCAAGGGTTCCATTCTTCAAGGCTGCTCCTCCCTGAAGTGTCTGCCTTTTATACTCATGTCTGTCTGGAGTGTTACTCATCCCTCAAATGTGCCTCAAGTTCTTTCAAACCAACAAGCTCTCTTACTGCTGTATGGGCAAGTTGATGTTAGATGCCATGGCCAATAGCAGAAGGGAATAAAGGAGAAAAATGACCTCTTCCTACCCTGCAAAGGCTGACTTCACAAAGGACTTCTGAGTCTGTAATCCCTCCAAATCAAGTAATTGTTCCTAGAGATTATCTATCTAAAGCCTTATACAGGCTTGTCTAATTTTTGTTCCTTCAAGGAAGTTGATTCCTTTAATTTCATCAGTATAAAGTGTTTGCATATAAAGGAGTGATTGGGGAGTAGGAGCATCTTTATTGATAATTTAAAGCCTTGAGATTTCATTCTAGGCCCTCTGGACTGGGAAGTTGGCCAAAAATTAACTGCCTTCTACCTCTAATGGGCACTGGAACACTTTAAAACAAATATATTGTCAATCATCAAGTATTTATTGAGTAGCAGCCTTAAGGCAATCAGTGCTTAGTTGTCCTTTGTTCTCAAAAAGCACCAAAATGATGTGACTAGGCTAGAGTCAAGTTACAACGTGTCCTACTGTGGCTGCTCAGACCACTACGAGGTCTGACACAGAGAGTCCACGTGAACATTTGGAGTGGATTCTCCAAATTTGCACATCTTGCATTTCTTTGGAGCTACTTCAATTCTGCTTTGCTCATAGAGCATAGCACCTTCTCTGATGGGGGCATGCCATGCTGAGTTGTCCTGTGCCAATGTCTTCCATGTCACACAATCAATTCCCAAGTTCTTAAGAGATCATAGAGCTCTATCCAAAATCAATTTTTCCCAGCATTCATGGGAATCACAGGATTCTAGAATTGGAAGGGACCTCAAGAATTGGAAGGGACCTTCAACTCACATCTGAAAAGAGATTCCCTCTATTACATGATCCACAAATGGTCAAGCTCATATCACTCTGTCTTAGAACTTTTCTCAATTTTTTCTGTGTTTTGTAGAATCTCAGCAACACTGGAAATGCATACCAATTATCATTATAGAGGTGTATTGGGGTGGTTAGCCCATGGTGATTGTGAGCAGGCTGAAACATAGAACCAATGAAGAACTTTGAAGAAAAAAGACCATTGAGGAAATGTATGATAGAAACAGAAAAAAGCTGAGCTGGTTGATCTCATATCATAGGTGAAAAGTCAGAGTGTTCCACCGATACCTTAATAGCATCAGAAGAATATAAGAAAGGCCTCCAAC